TCTATCAGAGTTAGGGTGTAAGTAGATTATTAAGTGTATATATTTGTTTTGTTTTCTTGTTAATAAATCTATTTGTTATATGAAAGCTCTGTGTCTATGGTCGCTGTGAGTATCCATGACGTCACAGTAGCTGAGTTGAACTCGAAGGCCGCCTGCAACGATAACTGATTCGCTCTTGCAACTTAGTTCTCACGCTTCAACACTCAAGAGTTCGGGACGTTCATCGATGCTAGGCTGCCTTCTCGCCCCCCTCCCCCACCCCCGCCCAGGCCGTGGCAGCGGCGACGGCGGGGGTGGCTCAAGGCCGGAAAGTTGAGTCTCTTAGAGAGGGAACCTTCCTCTCGGCCACTTTTTGCGCATGCGCAGTCCAGATTTTTTTAAAGTAGTCGAGCTATAGTTAACCAATTTCCAAAATGAATTAATTTTTTGACAGAGAACACAAATGAAGTGAAAATAAGCCTTGCCTTGCCTTGAAAATAAATGAGTCTCTGGGAATATTTGTAGACCAACAACTGGATTCTTATTAGTTCATTCGAACAAATCGCATGGCTGGCCGCGGAGGAGGAAGAAAGCGATAAATGCTTAGCTTTTTGTTGTTGTTTTTTCGTCACTTTATTTTTAAGAATTTTCCACCCAAAAAGATTGAAAGAGACTTCACGTAAAATCGTCTTATGGCTCAATCCCCAATGGTGATGCATGACTTTTTGCTTAGTGATTGCGCATGATTTTCGAATGTCATGGCCTTTTTTGTGCCGTCGGTGGAGGGGGAGGAATGCAGTACTTTTTGTAGGGTGTTCTAACTCTTAAACCTTCCAAACTATGCTGATATCTGTATATCTAAAACTATACTATTTGATATTTTCCTCCCGATTTTTTTTTCAATAAAAGGGACATCGGAATAAGATAGGCAAAAGTGCCCCCGAGAATAAATATCTTTTGTGTTGAAAATCGTATCTGAAGTGTAAAAAAACTATTTTTCTCCGTATTTAAATCAATTTACCCGGAGAACTGCGCAAAAAAATGAACAAAAAAGCGTGTGTTTTAGAGAAGCCCAAGAGGCTAGCTCACTCAAGTGAATAGGACCATAGTGAATTCTTTGTCCTCTGTACCATGACAACACCATAAGCTGTTTTGTGTTGACTCTGTAAATTATCATCCGACTGACGATTGCCACACAACACCCATTCCAGATCGTGCTGCCGTTGTCTCGATTTATATTAGGCTCTAATAGCGCGTTTTGACAGGAAGAGCAGAGAGCATCCGATGATTTGCTCTTCGGACAGCTGACCAGCAGAGGTTCGTCGCCTCGCAGCTGAATGCGAACAGATGCTGAGTTATGGAGGGGGACGACGGTCGCCCATTCGATGCGCTAATGTTAGCAATTTTTTGCCTTATTCTCGTCGTTTTATGGCTGTTTCTCAGCTATTTCTTTAGGACTCCATTAAAATGTTTATACTTTTACGTTTTATCTTCTCTAAAACATGTATCTCCATTATTCTTCTCTAAAATATACAAAATATACTTCGCTTAGTCTTAGTCACATTTATCGATAATGTGACACCTTGTAATCGATAATGTTTTTCTAAAGCATCATCTGCGCCATTTAGGGCGTATTGTTGGTTCGTCGTATTGGGTGGACAGGGCGGGGTAGCGTGAAGTGCATGATTTTTTTAGTCTCAGACGTTTTTTAGTGAAAAAAGTATTTTAGTAGTTCATTGTAAAAGAAAAGGCGTGTCCTTATAATTCATGTTTCACATAAAACTTCGGGTTCAGCTAGTATTAAAGTTTTACAAAAACGTTATAAATAAGAGGAGAAAGAATGTGCAGCTGAAGCACCATGTCTTGTAATTACGGCCGTGAACTCTGTATTTGTGAGAAAAATGACGGAAGAGTAGTTTAAGCCAAAAAGATCCGTTTAAGGTAAACATGTATTCGCATCTATTCTGTACGTTTTTTGGAGTGCTGATTTGAAATATGAGGTTTGCCACCTCGAAAAATGTCTGCTTCATAAAGAAAATTGCCCAAATAATTCATTCGTCACTAACTTTTTGAAGAATGATGTGAAACTAGGGCGCCACGACAAAATAATGGAACATTTCTCTAGCTCTAGTTAAAGTTAAAACAAGCATTTTGTAAAGAATTTTATGGACCTTAATTTTATACATGAAACGCTTATAACCTTCATTTTATATGTAGACGAAGATGGAAACCGATTAGAATAGATGGAAACATAGAAGCGCACTGTTGTCGAGATCTAGCTAAAAAAAAGTGCGTTTTTTCTTGCAATTTCCTTTGTGGAGCCGACATTAAACCTCAAATTTAATTTCAGCATCCGCAAAACCAAATAGAACCGGTGATAAAAAAAAACTTCCTTCACTGGACACCTAGTGACTGAACTGCAAGATTTACCTACAAGCGAAACAAGCAGTTGCTTGGGGACCCCGATCCATGAGAAGCCCCACGCTTCGGAAAAAATATGCGTAACATATTTTGTAACATAAAATGTATTTAATGTAATTAATATAATACATGAAAATTTTATACAAAAATTCTTATTTTTCATTTGTATTTGTGCAGAAAGAACTTAAGGTAAGTTGTTATTGAATGAAGATGAAGCTAAAATGTAACTTCAAATTAACTTCTCCCCATAGCACGTCATACAGTTTTTAACTGTTTTTGACGTAAAATAATTAAATAAATAAGCTATTTTTACGGAAGGGGGAGCTAGATCAAAACACTTGGGAGGGGGAAGCGCAATACTAACATCGTCCCTTCCTGCAAGCGCCAAGAGTCGCGTCGCGTGGCGTGCGCAGGACTACAGCGGGGAGTACACGGTGGTGCTGGTGCCGTGCTGGCGCAGCGAGCGCCTTTCGCCGCCGCCCGGGCCCTGCCAGCCGCGCGCGCCGGTGCGGCTGCCGCTGCGCGTCCGCTACCGCCGCGCCGCCCCGCCCGCGCCGCTGCGCTTCGCCCTCGAGACGCGCTTCCTGCTGGCGCGCGCGCCGCCCCTCGCGCCACCCGACCTGCAGGTGAGACGTCCTCACAGAGCCATTGGCACAAAAGATTCCCCGTAAAGTGAAGAACGTATTAGGATTAGTTCAAAACATCTACAACAACAAAAAATCCAGGTCAAGGTAAACCAAAATTCGCCACTACAACACAGTCATAAAACCAACAGCATTGTATGCAAGCGAAACATTGGCTGTTACCAGAAAACAGGATCTTGAAGAAATAAAAAAAAGGGAGAAAAATAATTAGGAAACCTCTAGGAGCAAGTATAAAACACTGATGTAGACTACAATCAGTGACACAAAAGATTCCCCGTAAAGTGAAGAAAGTATTAGGATTAGTTCAAAACATCTACAAAAAAAAATCCATTTCAAGACAAATCAAAATTCGACACAACAGTCATAAAACCAACAGCACTGTATGCAAGCGAAACATTGGCTGTTACCAGAAAACAGGATCTTGAAGAAATAAAAAAAGGGAGAAAAATAATTAGGAAAACTCTAGGAGCAAGACATACAAAAGACTGATATAGACTACAATCAGTAAAAGATTCTCCATAAAGTGAAGAAAGTATTAGGATTAGTTCAAAACATCTGCAACAACAAAAAATCCAGGTCAAGACAAACCAAAATTCACCACTACCACACAGTCATAAAACCAACAGCATTGTATGCAAGCGAAACATTGGCTGTTACCAGAAAACAGGATCTTGAAGAAATAAAAAAAGGGAGAAAAATAATTAGGAAAACTCTAGGAGCAAGACATACAAAAGACTGATATAGACTACAATCAGTGAAAACAGTAGACATATTTTGAAACATTGAAATTGACATTAGGAAAAGGCGAATGAAATTCTTTAGACGTGTTAACAGATTACCATAAAATAGATTGACAAAAAAGATACTAGATTACGTAACCTCACTGAAGAACTCGACACCTTGGCTGAATGAAATTCGAAAAGACCCTCAGAAAAGGTAATGTAAGATCAGATGACTTAGTAGAATAATTGCAAAAATTATTGCACCTAAATACATGGGAGTCCCTGGAGGAAACATCAATATTTTGGAAAACGCAAAAAAAATGTAGTTTCCTTTTAGGACACTCGGTAATTAAGTAGTTAATGGCATCTTTTATCATTTCAAATAACTTAATTTCAGTGGCGACTCGTGCCCTCAAATGTTGATTTACGTAATAATGACATTAAAGGAGGGGGGACTCGGATGCTGAGACTGGTATACAATGAGTTCATATGTACGATTCAGAAATGCACAGTACCTAAAATTTCAATTTTTTCTTCGAGACATTCCCATTTCCACAACATGAGTTATCATTATTTAAACAGCACGTACTTTCTCGCCATTAGTAATGGTTATGTAATACTATTTATACTATTATCTCTCCAAATAATTTTTTGCAAAATTAATTTGAAATCGTAAAACATTTGGTGCGAAAAATAAGCAGAATGCAAGAAAGTAAAAAAGGTAAGTTAATCAATAATACGATTCTGATAGCGTTGAAAATTAAATAGATCGAAAAAATATAATAATTGTAGTTATTAAACATTTTGATATTGTAATATTCTTCAAATATATAAAAGTATTCGTTTTTATGTCGGGAATGAAAAGCAGCCGTTATTATAGTGTTAGAAGGGTTCCAGTCAAAGAAATTTCGGAAGTCGATATCTTGCAACCACCCTAAGGACTATTGATGGTCATAACACTCGTACTAAAACAAGATTGTACATGGGTAGCATACTATTCTTAGTTCGTAATGATTTTTCCTTCGAGATGCCATTCTAAACTTCCGGGAACACCTCAATGTTGTGCATAATCTTCGCTGTCCGGGTGACGCCGCGTCGAAGGCTGTATTACCGACGTTTCGACCATCTTGTCGTGGTTTTCCTCGGGGCTGGTAGCGCCGTGATGGTCTCGGGTGTATATACATATCTGGGCCGAGTACGACCAGCACTGAGGAAGACCACGACAAAATGGTCGAAACGTCGGTAGCACAGCCTTTGACGCGGCGTCACCCGGACAGCCAAGATCACGCAAGTGACTCAGGCCGCGGAAGCCCACGACTTCACATTCTCAATGTTGCCAACTGCATCGGCGTGACACCCTTACGGCGCCCGAAAGAGCCGCGTGCGACCGCCTGTGCGCAGGACTACGGCGGGGCGTTCGCGCGGGAGGACGCGCTGTTCGGGCGCGTGCTGTGGCTGCCGGAGCAGCGCCTCCACGCGGCCTATGAGCTGCGCGTGCAGCGCGTGCTGCTGTGCGCGACGCCCCGCGGCGCGGCGCCGCCCGCGCGCTGCACGCCGCCCGCCGCCCCGCGCCACCTGCTGCTGCTCCTGGTACGCGCGCCCACGCGCTTTCACGCAGGCGACATTTTACTATCTAAAGCATATCGCACTAATTAAAGACGACAATAATATTAATAATACTAGTGGTAATGATACTAGTGGTAATGATACTAGTGGTGATGATACTAGTGGTGATGATACTGGGGGTGATGATACTGGGGGTGATGATACTGGGGGTGGTAATGAAGTCAACCAGGAGTAGACTTTATAATCAACAGATTTATGACATATTTAATCGTGAATTAGAATAATGATAAAGATGATGGTAATGATAGTCATGATGATGATGAACGTAGCCTAATGTTTCCCTCAAGTTAGCGAAATTCGACTGATTTTCAACAACAAAAACAACAAATTTTAGATTGTCGAGGATTTCTTATTATAATATGTAATATAAAAATGCACGTTTTTTTAATAATTTTCTATTTTATACGAATATTCTTACTTTTACAGGATAGAGAACACTATGATATAATTGATAAATCTTTCAACGAAGTAAATTTCAATGCATCTTTTGCATCTGATTCTCCATCAATGACACTTTTGGATTCGTATTCGAGTGTTGATGGATTCACTTTTGAAGTAGCTCCTTTGTATTCTCCGGGAACAGAAGAACTTCAATGGCACTTACAGGTCAGTAATAAGTCGGTATTTTAATTATTTTTTTCTACTCCAATTCTATAATTCTGTCATTTGAGGACTGCAACCAGTTGCATATGATATGCATAATGATACTCATTACGATACAGATTTAATTTTGATACAGGTTATTGACCAATCACAGAGAAGTTAACCAAGTATTGACAATCATTGAAAGTCGTTCTAGCAAGTTTGGTTCAATTAGTCAAATTGCATTTCACGTTATATTTTGCTTATGTTTTAATTTCTTTATTACTAGTAATTTTTGACTCGTCTCAATATACAAAATATTGAAGTATTCGTGAAAGTTTTCATTAAAATATTTAATATTTTGCAGTGTTACAGAAAAAGGATATAATTTATTAGCACTATGAGTTAATTATTAGCACACTTCGAATAAGTAGGTAATGAGGGAGAAAACATAACAGAACTAGTGGTGCTAAACAGCACATACTTTCTCGCACTAAATAACTGTTACGTAATTCTCCTATATTATTTTAGTAGTATACGAACCTATGCGGCTATCATATGCAACCGATGTTTATAAATGAGGTCTCTAAAGAAAGAGCATTTCACGGAGATGTAACGAATTGCACTTTGACTTTAAAAATATGAAGTACTTTTTAAAAAAAAAAAACACGTATCTAAATATTCATGTCAAATGCAACCCGCAGCACTCGGTCAGCTATGCCGTTAAATAACTTCTGAACGTAGCTTTCTAGGGTCTTAAGAAACTAAACGTTTGAAGCCTACGGCCTCAAAGAAACGTTCTCACACTGTATACTACAACATATGGTATTCTTGGACATTCTAATAATTTTTTGCTGGTTCGGCATTTATCGATACTTCCGATGCCAACTAGATATCAACTTTTGGTGATGGTGGCCATCTTTGACACCACGCTTACAAGGCTTAGACTCCTCTATTTTAAGCTATTTACGTTTTCTGTGTACACCTTGGTTTGTGCCGACTGACGAGGTTTATTTGCATAATTATTAATTTAAGATTCGCTCATGTATCAACAACTAGAAGTACTATTAATAGTTTATTGATACCGATGAAGATTATTTCTTATTCTTTAGTAAAAACATTCATTTAACGTTTTGCCGAGGTCTAAAAGTGCTGCGTGCCTAATTTTGGAGGGATGTGGGTGTACAGTGAAGAGTGAAGACGTGTCTTGTTAGGTTTGGTTTGGTTTGTGTTTTACCTGTATCAGTATTTCCATTATCAGCAGTGATTTGGTGAAACTTTCAAGTCAGTGTGTTCAGTCACGAAACTTTCTAAGTGTAAAACAGTTTTTAAATAGTTTTGTGACTTTCACGAAATACGAAAAGCTAACTGTCAAAGAATATTGAAAAATTACTTCAAATATTAAAAATAAAAATAAAAAAAAGTGTTGTCAATTGTTCCAAGAAACCTCTCAATAATACTGAATAAATCTTTAGTGAAAATGTCTTTTCCGCATCAATTATTATTTTATATTGTGTTAGTACATTTTGAAACACATAAATACGTTTTGTTAACATATTTTCTCTTAGAATGGAAATAGTATAGGGAAGAGTGTGGGGTTTAACGCCGTGGAGTGTTCTCGCACGGGTTCGCAGAGGTAGTAGGGGAGAACTTGTGCTATTGCACAACACAAAGAACAAACTTTTCAAATTAACTAAAGCAAAATGTAGCTACCCTACAATACTATGTGAATTAATTTAAAAAATCAATCAATTTAAAATTATAGAAAGAATATCGCAAGTCGTTTGACAACTGCCAACGTTCAGAATCCAGACGCATGATTTAAATGTTGGCGGTAAATTTGTACATCAATGCCCAGCTGTAAACGCATATTGTAAATAAAACACCGTTTGATATTAAACTAAACAACTTGGGCAACAGAAAGCAAATCCGAATCAGTTAATGCTAGAAAAGAAAAAAGAAGTGAAGCAATCCCACTCAACCAGACAGAGTTCCCTCCACTCCCTCAAAGATTACATACACCAAACTTCTCGTAAACGGTTGCTTTAAATATAACCAAAATTAAAAATTACATTACAGAAACAGTAACACAAGTAATCGAAGATATTATACCATGCGTAGAAAATATATGTAAACAAACATTCCAAGAATTGTACGGTGCCAGAAGTGGAAAAAAATATCAACATCTTAAACTGGAATGCAAACAGGCTGGCTGGAATGCAAACACAAGAAAAGAGTTCAGGTTTTTTTCTTTCAAACTGGTCAATAAACATCGTATGTATTACCGAAACCCATCTCCATAGTAATGTAAAATTCAGCATTCCAGGTTATGAAACCTACAGGAAGGAGATGCAGCAGAGACGGGATGTGGAGGAGTAGCATTAATAGTAAAAAAATCAACATCACAAACTAATCAAACGATATTCTGTTAACCTATAAACAGGCTATATACAAATCAATTGCCTTCTTGATTAAAACTGTGTGGTAAATGCACTGAACGTGTATTGTCAACAAATTGCAATAATGTATCTGTACATTGAAGCTTGTTTCCAACAATAGCAATACCACACTAATAAAATTATTGAATAATTGTAACTTAATTCTTCTAAACTGTTGAATAAAACTTATGCTCGAGGTAGGCGTAGCCCGCGAGCTATTGAGTTATTGACTATACCGTGGGTATGAAAAGATTGCAAAATGATGTTATTATATGGAAATCATACGTTTCATCCACTTTGTAAAACTTTGAGTAGGGACACCTTGACAGCACAAGGGGCTGCTTGGCACTCGTAGTTTTCATAAGCCCTAGCCTCGTGTGACCGTGTGGGAAGCCGTCTCGGGGAAAGCGTTCCCTTCTTGTCGTTACTCTAACAATTAAGATGATTTGTGCTTTTTAGAAATGAAAATGAAAACTTTTTCTGACATTAAGTTTTCTAGTTATTATTCATTTACATCTTAAAGATTTAATATTATTTGTAGCTTAAAACTTCAATTTTACCCTGCTCGTCTATCATAGGTTTACGTTCTCTTAAGAAACGTGCAGCTTGAAACATAGACGAAGTTATCTGTTCAATGTATTAAAAGAGAAGAGTATTTTTTATTAAAAAGAGATAGAAAACTAAAATTTAATTTTGAAACTACCAAGTTGTTGCCAATGTACTGCCTGTCTGCAAGACCAAACGGTAATAAACGTGTTTGCATTTACTTGTGTAAATAAAACATTTAAAAAAGATTCAATTTGACATTCATATATTACTAGAGTCCCTCACGGAAGTATTGTGCTAACCCATCTCACAAATTGGGATTGGTTAGCCCATCTTGCCTTGAAGAATTTTCATGACTACAAAAGTTCGGCAGTCAAACATTCACGCGTAAAAAAATACCATACAGTTTTCTAATAAATGTACTTTCCTTTGATGCAAGCAAAATGTCGCCGAAGTTGCGTACAAAACCGGAGTTGAATATTAAAAGAAAAATTGACAATTGGAGTCAACTAATCCCGGTCTCCCCTACTATATTTTCTTTTAAATATGACATGTCTTTCGTTGGATGAAAACAATAAATAGGAAGCCAAGGATTATCAGAACACCTTTTACGAAATAGATTTGGAGTTGGGACATGGATTGCAAAGATTAACCTTATTATGAAACGGATCTCATTGTCGGTTTCGTTGATCTTGTCTTTAGGTGATGAAAGTGGATAAACATGTGCATGTTTCATTCAAATATTAATTTATTTAAAATAACTTTGAATTCTTCAACAGGTCCTGTATATAATAAAACCTTCACAACAGCGAACTCGTCGATGGACAATTCAACGGTTATCAACTCAAAATGCTACGTCTATTAGAACATTACAGCTCAAGATAACTGAAAAATCAGAAAATGTTACAGAGCGAATATTTGGGATAGCATTTGGGCCTGCATTGGTATTACTTTTCATTATTTTGCTGGTAACAAGTGGCTTATTATATACACAAAACATCTGTTCTGTAATTTCAAGGCAACCTAGAAGTTCGCAGGTATAGTAAGTCGCTAACATCAGGAAATACAATATTTTTGGCATTCTTATATAAATAAGATCTATTAGGATGCATTTTTTCAAGATTTTTCTAACATAAATATGTATATTTGAACTTATTTTTTGAAAATTAGAGCGTATTTATATTTTAGGATCAGTGGTGGAGTTTTGACCGATAGTGCACTCCTCCGCAAGGAAAACACATTTATTAGACAACAAATTTTGTATTTAAGTTCATATTAATATTGATACAATGTTTTCAATGAAGTTTGTTTTATTTATTTTTATAATAAATTGATGCAAGTTTACATTGTTTATAAATAAGGGTCGGGATTGGGATAAAATGTTGAATATTATAGAGTTTAATAAAGATGTACATTGATTCAACTCCAAAGCGTACCTAACTAAAAACAATTTCGATTATCAATTTTTCCTTATTTATTACAGTAAACTGAAATAATATACATAATTCATGAAAATGTGTGCTTTAGTGCATCCGAAATAATGAGTAAATAAAATAAAAACAAGGAATATGCATTGTTGAAAATAACGTAGCTTTTGGAAAAGGGTTTGGAAAAGAGAATAATTTTTATTTATCTCGAAATACAACCTGGAACGTAAAAAAAGAAATGAATTATCCTCCTTAAATTTTAGACTTATCTTACAAAAACGGAGCCCTGACTTGTCTGTATATTTAATAATATTTGTAAATATTACAATCGTTACAATCGTTTAGGCTCTTCCAAAAAATTGGATATAGTTTACTTAGCAGGAATCGACGCCATTTTTTGTCTTCCTCTGCCACCGCACCAGCCTCACGGCTTTTAAAAGTGAAGTGTGGGTTGATTTAGCCAACATAACTAGTGTTTTTGTAAGTAAATGCAAAGAATACCACGGTGGAAACGCGTCGCATTTACAAAGAATACTTTAATTACATGCACTAAAGCAGTGGCGCTGCGCTACGCGTGTCGAATTTCACGACGAGGCTCCAGCTTTTGCCTACGCGATTAATATCCTTCAGTTTATCCAAAGCTTTTGCAAAGTAACTCGGTGATTGCGGCCTTTTCGTCATTCACAATTTCTATTAACTTAAATCCATCGCAATTGTTGTGCTGCATTTCAATCGCCATACGAATGGCAACACATTTCAACAATTGAATTACGCATCTTGCGTAGATAAATAGTAAGAAAGCTTCAGACAAAATTGTAATCTACAGAATTATAAATTTTCTTCTGGAACATTGTGCCACTTCAGGTCTTGTGCCCTTCCGCAGTCACGGTGGCTGCGGTGCCGTTTCTCCACCACTGATGCTGATACATCTATTAATCTCCAATATGTCCATTTCATGCTCAAAAAATCATGAAAATGTAAAGTAATATTGATTTCCTGCGCCAAGGAACTTCTAAAATGAAGAAATTAAAATTCTATTGTACAAATGTACAGAGCTTAGCTCAGTTGTTCAGAGAAGAGACAAAACTGAAATAGTGAATTTCAAAAATCTCTTGATTTTCTACATTTTCAGGTATACTTTAAATAATCGGTCAGTTGTATCATTGTAAGCAACAAAAAAAAATTGTCTTGAACTTTCACTGTGCAGTTGCATTTATGTTGAAGAAACATTGAATTTTATTCAATGATGTGTCTCGTGGACAAGTATAATACAATAAAACAAATACGCTGTGCACAAATTACAGAACACAATTTAAGTAATTCACACAAAGATTTGTTCGTCTATTCCTTCAAGAGGATAGCACTTAAGGCCTTTTGATGATGAAAATTCAATTTTCTCGAAATATTGAAAACCACCTAGTATACAGGGTAAGAGTTTCTCACAGTTCAGAGATATTCATTGTGTACTGAATAGGTTAGAATTTTCATGAATGTTTTACATGGAAAATTACAAAAACTGACAGTGTACATCTGACTGACCGTAATAAAAATAATGCATACTTTCGTAAGCGGTTATTAATGGTTCCATCGAAATTTAGCCATTAATAAAGGTGACCGCCTTTTGGCGGTTTTGAGGTTACGCGAAGCGTACATTAGGCATATTTGTTCTCATAATTCTATGAATAAAATAAGTATTTATAATAATTGTAATTATGTTGACAAAATAAATCTTAAACAAGGAATATATGATCACTTGCCTCCATTCGATTAGTGTCAAATACATTCTTGTCTTGCCACTAATTTTCTTACTCGATAAATACTCTCCTAACCGAACCACACTCTCAAGCAAACTAGTCATGAAGATGTAATTCTCATCCTGTAACTTCGGAGCGTGGCTGTCTGAAGGTGTTTATGAATGACCTTTAGATCGGTTTCCCACTGAGCACGCAGTTTTGCGCGGGCTGTTGATACGAAAGTTCGAATAAAAATGAAGCAGTAAAATTCACGATAATGCTGCAGAGTGGGCGAAGCAATATTACTTCATTAAAAGACAAAATTATAGTCAACCTGTCGAAAATGGAACCTGGTAATAACTGAAAACCTCAATCAACGAACAAATATCGGTTCCATGCGTTTGCTATATAAAGTTCATGTAGATTTACATGCTATTAACAGAATCTGTTGAACGCGAAAACGAACCACCTCTTTTCAGTATATTTTGAGCTGGCAACCTGACAATTGCGGAAAGGGAAAAAAGGGGAGATGTCATACGAAGAAATGACCTTCATAACAGCGTGGGGCAGGCGCGGGCGGGCGGGCGGACGGACGGACGGACGGACGGACGGACACCTTTGGGGTGTTTAGGAACGGACGGACGGACGGACGGACGGACGGACGGACACCTTTGGGGTGTTTAGGAACGCCGACTTCGTGCCAGGCCTCACAGACCTACATCGATATCTCTCCTCAGTGCAGCACTCCGTGACGAATGGGCTGCCATTCCCCAAGAAACCTTCCAGCACCTGATTGAAAGTATGCCTACGAGAGTAGAAGCTGTCATGGGGCTAAGGGTGGGCCAACACCCTATTGAATTCCATGTTACCGATGGAGGGCCCCACGACCTGGTAAGTAATTTTCAGCCACGTGTCTGGATACTTTTGATCACATAGTGTATTTGCGAAAAACGGATAGTGCATACTTAGTTTTTTTCTAAGAGCAAGACTGCAGTGTCTTCGACAGGGAGTTCCTTAGTTCGAATCGCGACGGTGGCAGAATTTTCGACATTAGCTAGATAGGGAAAATTCAGTCGTCTGGAGGAGAATTCTAGCGGCCGGCTACTCTGATATAGTTTGCCTTGGTTTCTCAGATGAATGCCTAGCGAGTGCCCGAGTAGTGCTTTAAGAAACAGGTCACTGACCGTGAGATCTTTCCTTCTTCTTCTTTGTTTTATCATTGCCTCTTATTTACAATTACATGCCCAACACTACCGCATTTTTCGGGAGATCGGACGGGAGCTTAGAGCTTATCCCGGCTGGGGAGGTACACCGCTGGTAGGAGATATCCGTTTGGAGGAACCCCGTTAGCCGACGCGAAGAAAACACATGCACTACTCTTTTTTAGGGCGCTAATGACCTTAGCATTTGACGTGTCTGGAATCACTAAACAATCAATATATCTAAGGAAAGGAGGATTTTTCCCCGAAATCTCATACTTTTCTCTTGTTCTGAAAATCATCAGTACAAAAATTCATTAAGAGCGGAATAAAAGTGTAGATGTGTGTGATAAAGTAAATATTTCACAGGTGTGCGCATAGGGGGACAGTGGTCATCCTGAAATTTTGGAGAGCGGCTGCGTAGTCCTACGTAATAAACAATTTTATTTCCGTGAAGATGATGAAATCGTAATGTTCTCACTTTTTGAACTGACAATTTGGGGAAGATTTTCAAACCACAAGGCAACCCTGTGAATGGTTCAACAAAAAAAAAACAATTTAATTCGCCTTGCATTATCTTTTATGTATTGGTCAAGCAAGTCGTTTGTAAATAAAACATTGTAATAGAAAAGGGGGCACAGTGGAGGATAGAGGGGCCCCTAAACGTAGGTGGTACTCTTCTCGTCTTTGGCTGCGCACACCTATGAAACCTTCAAATAATAGAAAATAAAAATTTGAAAAAAAAGACAAGTTATGCCCGACAAAACACACTTCCTTTCTGTGAAAACCTCAGCGAAAGCACTTCAACTGTTGTAGAGTTTACCCTAAGCAAGCAGACCAAACATTATATGAAAACATGAGTTTAAATCGTGAAAACATTTGAGTTTCTATATATCATGTAAATAATATTTAAAACGCAGTTGTTTTGAAATCGTAGACACTCAAATTTTATTTATACAGATTAATTTTACATTATCGCCATACAGGGTCCATTATAAAAATAATGTGCAGTTTGGGGAAAATATATTTATTGATCGAACCTGTACAAATGCTTAAAATTCTTCAAACTATTCTCCCCCAACGTGAATACACTTGCAGCCGTTTCTGCGACGCCTGGAAGGCATCCTGAACGTCCTCGACGGAAAGGTCTCTCAGGAACGTTGTAACATGATTTTAGATATTTCCCACGGTTTCTCAATGCTTTCCATTCAGCTCACTCTTTAGTCGGGAGAACAACAACGTCGCAAGAGGCCAAGTAGGATCTGAAAGGGGGATGGGGAAGACCAAGGGAAGACCAAGGGAGGACCAAGGGAGGACCAAGGGAGGACCGAGGGAAGGACCGAGGGAAGGACCGAGGGAAGGACCGAGGGAAGGACCGAGGGAAGGCGAGGGGAAGGACCGATGCGAGGACGAGGAAGGACCGAGGGAAGGACGAGGGAAGGACCGAGGGAAGGACCGAGGGTAGGACCGAGGGAAGGACCGAGGGAAGGACCGAGGGAAGGACGAGGGGAAGGACCGGGGAAGGACGGGAAGGACCGAGGGAAGGACCGAGGGAAGTGCCCGAGGGAAGGACCGAGGGAAGGACCGAGGAAGGACCGAGGGGAAGGACGAGGAAGGAACGAGGAAGGACCGAGGGAAGGACCGAGGGAAGGACCGAGGGAACGGACCGAGGGAAGGACGAGGGAAGGACCGAGGGAAGGGACCGAGGACCGAGAGACCGAGGGAGGACCGAGGAAGGACGAGGGAAGGACCGAGGAAGGACGAGGGAAGGACCGAGGGAAGGACCGAGGGAAGACCGAGGGAAGGACGAGGCGAAGGGCCCGAGGAAGGACCGAGGAAGGCCCGAGGGGAAGGAACGAGGAAGCGCCCGAGGGAAGGCCCGAAGGGAAGGCCCGAGGGAAGGGCCGAGGGAAGGCCCGAGGGAAGGCCCGAGGGAAGGCCGAGGAAGGCCCGAGGGAAGGCCGAGCGGAAGCCCGGGAAGGCCGAGAAGGCCGAGGAGTAGCCGAGGAAGGCCGAGGGAAGGCCCGAGGGAAGGCCGAGGGAAGGCCCGTGGAAGGCCCGAGGGAGGCCCGGGGAAGGCCGAGGAAAGGTGCCCGAGGGAAGGCCCGAGGGAAGGCCCGAGGGAAGGCCCGAGGGAAGGCCCGAGGGGAGGCCCGAGGGAAGGCCGAGGGAAGGCCCGCGAGGAAGGCCGAGGGAAGGCCAGGAAGCGCCCGAGGGAAGGCCGAGGAAGCCCGAGGGGGAACCCCGAGGGAAGGCCCGAGGGAAGGCCCGGAGGGAAGGCCCGAGGGGCCCGAGGGAAGGCCCGATGGGGAGGAAGGCCCCAAGAACATAGTTTTGATGCGAGGCTTGCTCATTCGCGCTTTCTTGGGATGCGGGGCGATGATTCTGTGTGCCACTCGGTGCTCTGCCTTTTCCATTCTGGATCGTACTCGAACATCCAGGATTCGTCTCCGGTTGCGACAGAGTTAAGAATGTGATTTTGAATCAAATACAAAATTCTTGAAAGAGAGACAATCTTTCGAGGAGTTCTTTCTAATTTTACATCAACACTTTCGACAGAAGCTTCGCGCAGACCCTGCGCATTTGCAGAACCTTGGTGTCTATCCCATATTTCGAAAATGTGGACATGTACAGAGTGTCAAGAATTTGTTTCCAGCCAACTTTTGAAGGATATATTTTCCCTTAATGAAATCCATTCTAAGTTAGTCGTGTTACAACAGCACATACACTCTCGCATTAATTGAATTTATTTGATTTTGCAAGTAATTTAAAGATTTCTTTGTTGCATATTTCCACCAATTTAAAGTTCAACGAAAATGAGACCCATGCCATTCTTTTAAGCATTCCTTCTTCTATCTGTAGGGGGGAAATTAAAAGTTAAGCTATGCGCACGTACAAGGGTTCAGGCTGCTACTGCGTAGGAGAGAAGAGTGACCCCCATCTAAACTAGCCAATGAGGTGGCCGATGGCTAGGCTCGTCTAGTGTAATAATTGCCATTGGCAAAATAGAGGGGAAGCGAGGATTCGACACATAAGGGGGAGAGGAGAGATGGCTTCGCGGTGAGCGGGCCGTGGATGAGCGAGGAGAACGGTTTTGTCGGAGGTCGAGAATAAACGCACGTGAAGAGAAGCGACTTGTGTGAGGTCGAGTAAGAACTCTCGCGGATAACTTGTTTATGGGAGGTCGAGGAAATATCATTCTATTCGTCACTAATTGAGATTTTTCGTTCCTCCTGCGATTTACTTCCTTTATTTACTTTTGTTTTCCTTTTTGATTTTTCAGCTAATTCTTGAAGCTTTCTTTTAACTGGTGGATCTGTTAAAACTGCCATAAATTCTGTACGTAAATTATTTCTATTCCTATTTTCCTTACTTCTGCAAGCATGTCTGATGTCCTCGTAGTCTTTTTTTTATAATTTCTACACTACTGTACCTGAATCAAGCGATAAATACTAAAAATACCTGCGGGGTAGGTTGTCACATGTCACAAAAAAGATGGGGATGGTTGTCACAACTCCGCCCAGTCCTTTCAAAGAACAATTGTGCTCGAAACACAAACATTGCACTTAATCTCAATCTCGCTACATAATATCGTTGTCCAAATGTTATCAAATCATAGTAAATAGTTGGATTCCAGATTTTATTGAATATAGTGAATATTCAGCGTTAATTATACCAATACATGAATACTTACGTCTGCAAAAACACAAAAACAATGACATCTAGAAAACTATTGCCAGGAACTCGAAACTGTGTACACCACCTCGACATTTTGCGATTGTACCGTGGTTTGAGTTTAGATAGGAAAGCAGCTATAGCCTCTGAGAACGGAAACTTGTGACAACCAACCCGGGTGACAACCTGCTCCGGTCTCTCCTACCTGACAACTTCAAGAAAGGAGACACCAATAATGGTATGTGCAAACAAAAACAATTACCTAAAGACAGTGCTCAAGAAAGATGATTTGTAAATCAGCAGTTGTAGTTAAAGTCATGTATCATAAAACTTGCGCATTGTGATTTTCGGCATATTTGTAGTCAAAATTTCATTAGAATAGTAAATGGCTCATTTGTAAATCAGAATAACTGAATGAACAAATGTGCAATAATTAAAGCCATGCCAACCAGAGAGCGTGTAGCCGGGCAGTTATCACGCGACAGAAGTAAAGTCCAGAATAGCCAAAAGTATGTGTAAAAAAAAAAAAAAAAAAAACCCTCAAGGAAAGAACTATCAGACCCGGTGCTAACAAAATTCCTAATTCATAATACGACGAAAGGGTTACCATAACATTATTTAAAGATCCGTCTTTCAGAAACATTCATCAAGGAAAAAATCTTCCATATTATTGTTGTAGGAAGTCGCCCAAAAGAATTGCACATTTCACCACAGATGGATAGACCGACGTTTTGCCGTCAATCGAGTTTTCGGTATCAAGGACCCACAATACAAGAATTTTGGCTACGACGTGTAAAAGAGAGTAATTTACTATATATTGCAAAAGGATCTACCTACTTTTCCGTTCGCGGGGCCCAGCAAAACGTTTTTCTGCCGAAAATTTCAAGTTTTCCGCCGCACGATTACATAACTTTCTCTTCTTACGAAAGGGCTAGAAAGTAAAAATGTCTCTTCAAATCAGATCATTTACTTTTTGAAAATACAAGTAGTTTTCGCGTAGTTTTTACTTGAAATAAAGGTCTTTTTTACTCTCTCAATATGGCTTTTGCAGCGTAGTCACGTAATGCAGCGGGGAAAACGGCGATTGGTGATTCCTGGCGCGACAAAGGCTAAGGTCCTTAGGCCCGTAAGTGTAGTGCATGTTTTATCACTGGAGATTTCGGCAATATTCCCCGCTGGATGGCAAGATCCGGCACCGACCTACCGTCTTCTTGTGGGTTTTCCCTCAACCAAGTATCCCCCACTAAATGGGCACCGCCCCTGCAGGGCCAAGCTCTAAGCTTCCGTCTTCTGGGATGTATGGTAGAGTAGGGCATGTGAGGGTAGGTGTGTGTAAGGGGTGGCGGTAGGACAAGGAAGGAAAGATTTAGCGTCCGTGGCCGGTTTGTTAGGGTGTTGCTCCAGCATTTGCCTGGTATTGATCGGAGGAACCACGAAAAACTATGGATCAGAGCAGCCAGCCACTAAATTCCCCTGAGCGACTGAATTCGACCCAGCTATCTAGCTAATGTCGAAACTCCCGCCTTAAAATACGTGTTGCAGCCCGAATCCATGTGACAAGGACAAAGTTTATTTTAGAAGCACAGCACTATATAAGCACAACGGAAATTAAGCATAACAAACTCATCTTGAAGATCGACACAAGATGCAAAAATTAGTCTAGGTGTAGGTGTTCAACATGCCTAGTCATGTTGCACAGTATCTGACATAGTTCTATGTTGAAAAATTAAAAAAAGAGGGCCTTTTTTCTTTCTTCTTTTCTGCAATGCTTTCATTGATGTCCTCCATTTGAAACTTGCCTGGTGTGAATAACCAAGATTTTTTTCTGATATGGTTGTTTATATCAGCACATTATTTTCAAAGGAGTAATAAGGGACAACTATTGCATTTTAGTTAATTTGACATTGAATAAGGAAGTTAAGGAAAGTACACTACTTCTTTTGAACCATCCCTTTTTACCAGTGTTGAATTTTCTCTTTCATTTTTTTTTTAAATACATTCAGAGAATTTTCTATGAAGAGTTTATACTGACAAATTAGATAACAAATAAAATCTTGAAATGAATGAAAACCCAAATTGTTACTGAAAAAAAGGTCAATAATGTATCTTTTGGTTGAAAAAACAGGTTTGAAGACAAAGAAAAAAGCAAGTTGTTGATTTTTTGTAGTAAAAGAAAGTTTGTAATGTACACACAGTAGTGATTGTGCATATTCTGACATCCAGTCAGGATATTGATGCACTATGTTTTTACCTCAAAGGACAAATTTGTTCAGAAAAAAAAGAATTAGAAAACAGCAGGGTCTTTTGGAGAGCTCTAGAGAAAGCAGTTATGAACTGCAGTTTTACTTCAGGAGACAAATTACATTAGGAAAAACAGGACCACAAAAGAATGCACCCACACAATAATTGATATCTCTAAATGCTTTTAGTTGCACACTAAAGTAAGTTTTAATTATTTTATTCGTTTGTGTTTGTCTCCTTTCAAGTGACAAATTATTTTTACTGCAGTTGACAATAAAATAAAATTGGTACAAAGGCAAGACACACAATGTGCTAAGTACAAGGGTACAACAAATTTACTTCAAGTAATATTTTTCATGAAAGATATTAGCCATTAATTTTACTTTCAGGTAATTTGATTTAGTTTTCATTAGACCTTGAATTGCAAAGAATATGCTTGTTACACCTTATTTCATTACACACAATAAATTTATCTTTAAACAGAATTTCATTATTAACGAAAATATCATATTCACTGTCACCATGGTGCAAATAGCATGATATACAGATGCCTTCAATATAAATGTTGAAAATTTGTGAAATAATTAAAACTAAATGATAGATGCAACTACCACTTTTGGCACATTCCCATTCTTATTACTGTCAAAGTTCCATAAAACCTTAGATTACAAGTAATTAAAATAAATCCTACTTCTTCTTTGAGAATTTTTTTTTTTCTATTCTTTACACAGTCGATACACAAATGATTTGGATACAATTAAAGACATAAACTGATTCAGTACATTTCAAGTTTTACATCTTTCTATGAGTCTCTTTCTTCAGGTTTCTTGTATGGAAAGTTAATATGCTTGAAAATATCTTTTTCTGATGATACTGGTAGTGTGTCTCCTGGAACACCTACAATGAGAGTAGTTTCTTTTACCATACTTAACTCTAATGGAAATATTCATCAAGGCAAAAAAAACATAAAATATAGTAAGGTCAAATACCAGCAGCATCCAGTTTCCTAAGCGAATACTCATTCAATGTAAACCCATGCTCTTGTGCATGAGCACGCATTCTCTGATTGAAAAGATCAGAACCAGTGAAGTACAATACACTACAATAATATTGATCATGTGGTGTCAAACGAATATCTAGACGCCGTGCTGTAAAGCAGTCATTCTTTGAAAGTTTGCACACGCCCTGCAAATAAATATATGCATCTTTTAATGTTTCACTCGGGTGCATTAGTCATCACATTGCAATAGTGAAAATAGAATTTAATTATGTGCATAATTTCTGAAGATAATAACATACATGAATTACTTTTTATGCTTAAAGCTTATTATCTTTTTCAAGTCTCATCACTTCGCAGTCTTCACCTTTTATCCCTTCGGCCAGGGGCTCAGCACCCTTAGACCCCGGGGTTCCTACATGGTCACCTACCCAGAAACCCATGAAGTCTTGGGTTTGCTTACATTCGTGACTTCATGAAGCGTAGTTAACAAATTTAGCTCGTGATGCTGGCCTGACTTAAAGCATTAGTGTTGTTTACACACCAACCAATGTTTTGAGAAAATTCTTTTAGTATCAGGGACTCCTAAAAAGTATTTTGGCTACAGCACCAATATGAGAAAGAAGAAAACATTTTAACTATCAGATAATCCATAAAAGATGTTTTTCTGTCAAAACATCAATATAATTTCCTGCAGCATTTCATAACTCTCCTTACATGAAGTAAACAAGACAATACAAAAGGAAAATTATAAACTTCTGAAATTAATTTTAAACCGTTTTTAAAAAACTTGCCATAAATTTTGTATCTCCTAAAGATATGGTTTCAGTAATAATATTTTTCTTTTCCAATAATTTAACAACATCATGCAAAAGTTTTGTTTTTTTCTTGGGACTTTCAGAAGAGTTGTATGATGGATGAGTAAGTAAAACATCTATGTCCCCACTCTCCAACTTTCCACGCCTAGAAATAAAAATACACAATAAGAACTACACTCAAGTCACTTTATGAAACAAAACTAGTAATTTCCTCACCTGTAGCTGCCACAGATAGTTATAATATACTCAGAGTCAACATTTCTTACTTCCTTCTTAATTAAGTCTTCAATTTCTTTAATTTCTTTCCTTGGTATTTTTTTCTCAAAGTCTTCCAAGTACCTATATATTTCATAGACTACCTGATAATCATTTATGAATTTTACTGATCAGTTAATAATAATGATAAAATAAACTGTACCTTAAACCAATAAGCTGATGATGGTTAAGCTTATCTTTATGTTTATGCAGATCATTCACAGATTTAATGCCTGCTTCTACTAATTCTTTTGCTTTAGCCGGGCCAATGCCAGAGATACGTGTCAGTTCATTAATAGCAACATTGACATCATCAGATCGGATCTGAAAAAATATAAAAAAATTAAAAAGGAAAGAGATTGTATGATAATTTTGAAATTACTTTTAAAGACTATACAAGAACACACATTTTCCAGCTTTTTTAATTTGCCAGTTTGGAGATATTCATCAATTTTTTTGGCAATTTTTTCACCTATTCCATTCAATTTCCTGGCTTCTTCACCAGATTTTATACGAGTAGGATAATCTGCCAAAGTACGAGCTGCTTTCCTATAAGCATTATACTTGTATACATTTCGATTCACATTTCTTTCGTAATTCGCCAATTCTGGAAGCATATAAAAAATAATTTAGTGAAAGCAATTCAATGCTGCAATTAGTGAGTGTTGAATACAGCGCTACATACAATCCCCACCTGTCAAAAATTCGCAAAAATCATGATTAGGATTATTTTCACCCGAAGGAGCTTTCCTTTTACTCATTGTGGAAACAAATTATCGGTTCAGGCCGCCAAAACTACTTCTGCACACTGCCTTACCAAAAGATTAACTGGGCTACAATTATATGGTACAAAACTTTCACAATTATTACCAATATTACCTCCCCACATGTCCCCTCATTCTATCATTCAAAATACCCATCATACTATGTTGCGACACTGCTCGTGAGCCCAGGGCAGGCAAACTATGTATTAAATCTCGTAACCATATAGCGTTAACCCTGCCTCAAACTGGCCTCAAAGCTGCGCTCGAACGGGTGGAACGTGGAACTAAACAATCGCCGGAGGGGGGGGATGACGTAAATCACTCCACTTATTAAACTCCGGCTCTTATACCGTGGCGCGCCAGGGCCTGATATCACAATGGAAAATCTCTCGTATGGTATAAATAACCTTATGATTTTTTCCACCATGATCTCACGGCATTTCGCGCCTTTCTCGGATATGCCAATGGATGTCGCATGATCATGACCGTATCAAAGCCAGTGAGCTCTATATATGTAGTTTATGTAGGTAAGATCATTGGTCACCAATACCTTCTGTAGTAATAGAAGGTATTGATCAAGCTATGCGATGTGTCAAGGGCACGACCAAGACGCGAAATGCCGTGAGATATTCCATCGTAAAGACAGGCTCTGACGTGTCACGTTATAGAAACCGAAGTGTAGGTGCGTTAAATATGCAGTGCCATATCCCACTCTACTGTAGAGAGCGGTCTTTTTGAACGTACCGTCCGTTTTGTGTAGTTTTACAATTTATTTTAGGATTCTGAAGAAAATCAGGATACCCTGCCAAGGATATGACTCGCAATGAGATATAATTCAATACAATAAAGTTGTCCGTTTTGTCTATATCACCATTCTGTATACCAAGCTGGAAATACAGCTTTGCTGCATTTTCCTTCCACTACCAGCATCAGGGGAGTTTTGAATGCCTCTACACAACGGCCAATTTGTCGGACCGACTGTCGGGATAACGAAATTGGACTCTCGGAGAGTGGCGTAAGTTCGACAGAGGACCGACAAAATACGGGGGCGCTTTATTCAAAGTCATGTCATTAAGATCATTTTGTGATTATAAACTTTAATTTTAGGAGTGAAACATTACTACAAATTATTACAGAAATAAATTATTATTTTTTGTAATTTCATAATACCAAAATTTACTTCTTAAATTGTATTTTCCTTGCAGTTTATCAATTACTATAAAAAATATTATTTTTCAACCACATTGTTGTTTCGTGATCAATTGATAAAATACTTGAATTATGCAGACGATCTTGTGACATAGCGCCGTATTGGCTGTATTCGTGTTGTAAGTAGCGGCATTGGCATGCTCAGTAACCCAGTGAAGGATGGCCTTGCTGTGGTTACGTACTAGTAGTCGCGGATTATGTCGTTTTTGTCAAGAATACTTCTTAAGAGTTTGGTGATATTATTGCTCCCAGTAATACCTTCCAGCTAGAAGCAGGCTTCTGTTAATAGTCGAAAGCCTTTGTAAAGTCTTTGAAAACTGTGTATATCTTCCCTTTCTGTAGTTTGAGAACATATATTTCTCCTAAAAAGCATTGTACCGCTTGGATATGGGACCTTCCTGCTCTGTGTTATTACAATACGATTAGTTGTGCAATTGACACATCGGTTGTCGCGGTTTCATCCAATCGGGAGCTCATATGTCGCTACGGTCGCTACAGTGAAGTCACTATGAGGACGTTCAAGTTCTCGGGTAGATAAAACTGTGTACAGCTGATTTACTTCAAATGCATGGTTAAATAAATCCTAGTATTACTCGCGCAACTTTTCTTGAACGATGACCTTGCTTCCCCCTCTCTGATCTAATAAACAGATGAAGGTGAAAAGCTCGCAGCGAGCACTCCAAACACAAACATATCTTCACTGGCGCAAAATTGAAACAATTTTCTTTTGAAAACCAGAACATCTATCCGTTATTTTCTCAAAAAAAACTAAAGAAATGACGGAACCAGGTAAAGATCTAGCACAGGAGATACCTCTAACTCCTTAAAAAGTTAGAACGCAAATTATTAAGAACGTTTCGAAGGCATGACTGATCTCCAGAGATTGGCATTGCTTAAATTGATGAGATTGGCATTGCATAAAATCTAGTGTCCTATTCCGTAATTAATACCTCCACTTTACCCGCAGTTCTTCAATCCATCATTCAAGTTGCGCGAGTAATAGAGACTGTGGTAGAGAGTCGAAAATGCTGTCGAATGCAGTGCCTGCTATTGCGTGCACAAATTCTCTATTGTTCATTGCGCTTCAGTCATGCCTGACAATGATTGTGACGTTTGTGTTTGGAATTGGCCACGTGGTAAAATTTAGTGTTATGTCGTGGTGTAGCTTGGGATGTTTGTGAACAATACATGGATTATCTTAATACACGGATTATAAAATGTTCCTATTTGTATTCACTTGTTTTTTGTTTGGGTTTATATTTTTACGAGCATTTCTTTTGGTTCGAAAAGACGTTACGTATAATGAACACAAGGAGAAAAAGTATCAACATGTGAAAACGCTTATAGTAATTGGATCTGGTGGCCACACTGCTGAAATGCTTCGTTTAGTTAGAAGTTTAAATCCGAAACTCTATTCTCCTCGTACTTACATACTTGCAAAAGGTGATTTCACAAGTGAATCAAAAATTCATGTCGTTGAAGAAACTCTGAAATGTGATAATGAATCAAATTATAACCTCCAGAGAGTTCCAAGGAGTCGTAATGTTGGGCAATCATATTTCTCTTCTATCTTTACAACATTATATTCAATTTTATATTGCATTCCTGTCATGTTGATTCAGAGACCTAACCTTATACTCACTAACGGACCTGGCACTTGTATTCCTATTTGTCTCATAGCTTTTGTGATGAAAATATTTTATTTGTGTGAAGTTACAACTGTATTTGTAGAGAGTGTGTGCCGTGTTACTTCTTTATCCTTATCTGGTAAAATTTTGCTATATTTTGCTGATGTCGTTATTGTACAGTGGCCTGAACTACAAAAAAAGTACAAAAAGACAAAATATATTGGAAGATTGGTTTAGATTGTTTTTCCTTTGATAGTTAAGTTCTGATTTATTTTTGTGAGACAAAACACATTTATAATTGTATAATCTGCACATTTGCAGTATTGAAAGTTCTTATTAAATTATTATAATTTGTAAAATAATAAATAATTTGCTCTTTTCCAGTGCCAACTTAACTTTTATCATCAGTATGTTATTTCTCTTGAGATCATTTGATGTTACACAATATATTTTTAAAGATAAGAGATGGCTACACTTAATTGTAACAATCCAATTATTGCTTATCACTAAAGATTGAATCATATGCATATGTATTTGCACATTAAGGGTATTTTATGTGCTTTAGCGTATTTTATTGAAAACCTGGGATATAGGGCAAATTTGTCTTATTTTTAAAATATTGTTATAGTTAAACTAAACAATTAATTGCATGTCTTGTACAAGTCCTATATCACTTTTAGCATTTAAACACAATGACAACTACGCTGGACAAGAATGTGTAATGCCTTCTGCCTATTGGAGTAGAGGAAAGCCCTTTCTCTATGGTACCGGATCACAAGAACATTGCAATTGAAATTAAACTCTAACAATTGTTGGTTATCCCTTGCTAGATACCATAAGTATTATGTTTCTTTTGAGATTATAAATTGCTAAGTGTTTTGCTTTATGTCTCAATTGTCTTTCGATATGTACCAATTTTAATGTGTACAAAACCTATAAAAAGTTAATAATTTTATTAATGGCATGGATGAACTTTTGCCTGATGCTATACTTGCTAATGTAGCATATAAGTAGAAGTATTTCCTGGTAACTTTAGTACTTTGGGAACTTAAGTGATCAAGTTCTAAATATATATTGACCAATAGGAGCCATAATTTTGCAACACAAAAGATAATAGATTAGATATGATTGTAAAAATGTTTGGAAAAAATTTTTGTTAATGTCATATTCAAATTTTGTAATAAATTCTGTTGGTTACTTTTGTCTTATTTTAGGTTGCATATTTTCACATATATAACTGTCTTTAATACATATTTCAGCCTTTTTGTTGCCTATAATCTGGTCCATATTTATCATTCTTTTCTGTTGTTGCTTTTTTGGTTTGTGTGTGTTTAATAACCAATTGTTTTGGTAAACCATATTGCCCTGGTCTCTCATTATTTTTGACATTATAAATTAGCTGCTTTTTATTAGAAATTTTGTTTCCCATTACTGATTTTTACTTTGATTTGCAGAATTTTCCTTTTGTTAGAAATGTATGTTAAAATTATTCTGGATGGCTACTGGTTTTCTCAGTTTGAGCTTATTCCCAGCTTTGGTTGGATTTATTTAAAAAAATATTTGTCAAAAGAAAGCAAATACTTTCTGACGTTTGGGCAGTAGCATAGTGTGATCTTTTTTCCTGAGTAGGCTCCAACGCAGATTGTCGTAATATTTAACATTCTCCTGTCGTCATTCATGAAGATACGTTATTAGTTTGTTTACCTGATGGATGCTAGAAGAATGTGAGTCAATTGTCTCTGAATTTTGCTATGTTACTTTAACTTTATAGAGAAAAAAATTGTTCCTTAGAAATCGGTGCCAATAGAAATGAAAGCAACGTTAATATATTGCGTATTACAACATAATTGCCACAGAAATATGACAAACTCAGTAATATGTGACAAAAATGACAGTTATAAGTTAAATAACATTTTTACATTGATTCCAGAAATTTTGAAATTTCAAAAAATCTTTTGCTTTAAATAGATGCAAAAGTTAAAAAAAAAAACAAAAAAGAAACAAACTTGCTTTCAGTTTTCTTGTAGTGAGCTCAATTTTCCAATCTTTCTTTGCAACAAAGACATTAATGACTATTGTGAACATTAAGAATTCATTTTAAGGCTTGCTTCTTCAATGCCAGGTCTGGGAAGATCGGAAAGTCTTTTGTTACTCATTGAATTTGTCAAGTCCATCTTTACCTGATTTAAAGTGCTCATACTTCTTTCTCATGTAGCTGTAGTTGCTAGGTATCAGGGAGAGAGTAATTTAACAATCTCTGATAAGGTGTGTTTGAAATCATTATTATGATCTTTTCCCCCTACGTCACATACAGTTTCTACTGTTTTTTTGACTGAATAAATCTAAATCTACGAGATATAAACAATTATTCAGCAGGCAATAATTTATCTTAGCCCCCATAAATAAACATTAGCTTTCCATTTAACTTCTCTGTATCAAAGCATGAAAAAACAGCACATAAATCTTGTTTCACCCAAAAGCAGTGTGAATTGAGCACCTCAGAATTAATCTGTTTTGATCCAGTTTCTCATTGTGCTTTACAGCAGCAATGTACCAAGCTTTTGTTAAAGCATGGTCAATTGTAGTAGTTCCAGATTTATTAAATTTTACAGTACATATGTTTCATTGAACACTCGTGCTATTTAGCCTTTGCCAAGAAATTTTTAAAACTTTCATCCCTTAATCCTACTTGCACTACTCATTTCTCGAAAATAAGAAAATGAAAACAATAGTGTCTATTACTTGAATAGTCTTAGTATTGTTTATTGATTGACTTATTAATATTTGGTATCTTTATATTAAAGACAA